TCTTTCCCTGCCCCTCCTCCCTGGGCAGCCCTGTGTGTGTGAAAACGCCACCACCCCTGGTGCCCAAAGCTCGCTGCCTAGAAACATCCTTGCAGGATCCAGGCTCCCAGCTGACTGACTCTCCCTCCTGTACCTGGTCGTGACCCTCCTCTGCTCACCCATCTCCAGGACAGGAACTCACTCCCTCATAGGCCTGTATTCAGTTACCAAACACTTCCCATAATCACAGAGTCCTCCCTTTTATGAGCTGAAATCACCTCCTGGTGACTTTCCTGTACTGGTTGGGGCTACTTGGAATGTGTCTGCCCGGTCCCATCCCATCAAAATTCTCTAAGTTGTGAATACTTAGACTCCGTCATCTCTTCTGCACCATTCTTCCAGGAAATGCTCCATGGGCTGGATGCTTTTTGGTGTAAACCCAGCTCGCCTTGTCTTCATCATCTAGGTCAAGGTTGACGAGCAGGTTTCTACTTCAGATTTTTCAATTTTAGCTGACTGGCAGTGACTTCCTAGTATACTGTGTTGAGAAGGATTCTGAGGTACACTGTTGGGACAGTGTGCAGTGATCAGTTAGGGATGCCTTTCACTTCTGGTTTTACCCAACAAAGCTGTCACAGTCAGTATTGTCTCTGCTCTTCTTGCTAAAAAAGGAGAGAGATACCCTTTTCTCAGTCTCTCTAGACTGAGAGATACCCTTTTCAGCACAAAGAATTTCTGGGCAGCAGGAAAGTAGCAGCAACTACTGCAAGCTTGGCAGCCAGCCTCCTGGGCACTGATGCCCCTCCCGACTCTACAAGTCTGAGAAGCTGCCAAATGCTATCCATGTGTCCAGACCCAAGCTCCTCCATGGGAAGTGCCTCAGATAATGTTTGTGTCACTAGGAACACTGTTTGTCTGATGGCTGTTAAAGGGCCAGGGAGGACTTCGGGGTGGGAACAGGCGGATGGAGCTCAGAGAAAAGGCAAGTGGGAGGTTCCCTCATGGCACAGCACTGGGTGACCGAACAGGAACACTATTCTATTCAGCAACAGAGCCCGGCCACAGCCCTGCGCACCCCTGCCAAGTGCCCTGGGAACATGTTCACTGCACAGCGCCCAGCCACCAGGGCACAGAAGCACACTGTGGCATAAGCTCATTTAAAGGGATGGCTCTAACCAGCATTCTGCCCCGGCCAGATCCCTGGGAATGCTTTCCTTCCTTGTTTTACTTCCAGGAGCAGGTGGGAGGCAGGGGCTGTGAGGTGGAATGGCAAATCTCTTCCATTTCCTAGGCCTTTGTTTGTCCCTCTATAAAATAAGGGGGTCTGGGCTTCCCTGGTGGCGCAGTGGTTGAGAGTCCGCCTGCCGATGCAGGGGACACGGGTTCGTGACTCAGTCCTGGAAGATCCCACATGCCGCGGAGCGGCTGGGCCCGTGAGCGTGGCCGCTGGGCCTGCACGTCCGGAGCCTGTGCTCCGCAATAGGGGACACGGGTTCGTGCCTCAGTCCGGGAAGATCCCACATGCCGCGGAGCGGCTGGGCCCGTGAGCCATGGCCACTGAGCCCGCGCGTCCGGGGCCTGTGCTCCGCAACAGGAGAGGCCACAACAGTGAGAGGCCCGCGTACCAAATAAAAACAAAACAAACAAAAAAAAACAAAACAAAATAAGGGGGTCTGAGTGCCACATCTATAGCATGTGGAGCTCCTCTGCCCACTTCCACATCCATGACAGACATCAATAATCATTCATGACACCCTTTAGAATCTTCAAGACAGAACTCCTAATAGCCAGCAGCAATTGCTCGGACATGGCCCATAAGATAATATCTACTTGCCTTTTTGAGATGAGATGCGTTCAACATGTTCAATTCTAACATTGATTTTTTTTAAAAAAAAATTGCCTTTCTTTCCTGCTACTAAAAGGCCAAGCCAGATTCCTCTGAGCCTGACCCTTGGCAGAAGCAACTACACCCTCAAGGAGAAGGTCTGCCTCGATGGATGTGAGATGCCCTCATGACCAGCAGGGAGTGCCCTGGCCCTGCTTTGGTACCGGCTCCAAAATGGTGGCTCCACTTCCAACTGTGGTTTTTATACCTTTTCCACAAAAGTCTTCCAAAAGCAGCTTACTCAGAAATTGCATAACATCCTCAACGTCCCTGTATTCTAGGGAGGCAGTACTAGAAGCAGCTCAGGGGAGAAAACCAAGAGCCAACTAGAAGCCATGTCTTCTGACACCTCACCCAGTGCCAACTTTCTTTTCTACCCTGCTTCTTCTCTATATCACACTGGCTTATTCTTCAGACCTGGGAAAAAAGCAGAAACTATGACTACTCTTTCCTCTTGAAGAGGTACTTTATACTATCAATACTAGTATTACTGCTAATAACAGTGAATTATTTACTAAGTATAATGTTGAGTGCTTTATACACATTATCCTATTGAATCCTCACCTAACCCCATGAATTTGCAATTGTGAGAACTGAGGCACAGAGAGGTCAAGCAGTTTGCCCAAGGTGCAACAGCCATTAAGTCAGGGAGCCTGGATCCACTCCCAGCCTGAGGCGCCGAGCTCATTCTCCTTGCACAACACTGTCCCCTTCGGTTCCCACACCTATGAGGTGGCCAGGACAGGGAGCATGTCTCCTTTAACAGAAGAGGACATTAAGGCACAGCAAGGCCAAGGAACCTATTGCTGAGTAGCAAGCAGCTGATCTGGAAACCAGAGTCTGTGGCTGGCATGAGGCCCTGGGGCCTCTCACTGTGCAGGGAGTTGGCCCAGTGAGGACTCCCAGCATTTCCAGAGCATGGCCACTCCAGGCTTTCCCCACTGAATCCTGACTGCTGGCCCCACCTCAAGGTTCAGATTCAACTACCCTTCACTGGGCATCTCCCAGTGAAGGGCATAAATAACTCCTGGGTCCAGTGAGTCTTAAAGTGAGCAGGGCAGGTCCTCTCCTCAGTTAACTAACACATCCATGATGGCTAACACAGTCCTAGGCCTTGGGGAGTGAACACTGGTGGAGGGAGGTCAGACGCAGGCCCCAGAAAAGACTCTTCTTTCATTCAACACTGGGCTAAGTCACTTATGCTCTTCAGCAAATATTTCTGGTTCATCCCCACCTCTGTCACATGGGAAATGGCATTTCCCCACCTCCCTGAGGTTGGGCGGGGCCACCTGACTAACCTGGCCAATGACTGTGAAGGGAATTAACACATCTCACTTGTGGACTGCAGCTGGCACATGAGTCCCTCCAGAGCTGTCTTTCTCTCTGTCACTTGGCTGGCAGCATTCCAGACAATGGCTGCTTTAAGCCTGGGTCCAGAACAGAGCAGAGCCCCCAACTGGCCCACAATGGACATGTAGTGGGACTAAGAAATAAATGAACCTTTGTGGTTCTGAGCTACCAAGATCTCATTAATTTTTAGTGTCTTTTGTTACTGTGGCACAACCTAGCCCCATTCTGATAGCTATAGCACCAATGACAACACTGCTTCCTAGAAACTAGTACCTTGCTAGGAACTGTGTGGTGGGAGTAGGGAGCACAGACACAGATGAGACAGGTCCTGGAGCTCTAATCTCCAGGAGCTGCCCATCTTGTAGCAGAGGCAGGTGCCGACAGGGCCCCTCTAATCTCAAGTGGATAATGGGAAGTGCCCCCTGAGGGGCAGGACAGAAACAGACCACTTCTGACCAGAGGAGATCAAGGAAGGCTTCTGGGAGGAGGCGGCACTGGAACTAGTCTTGTAAACTGGGTTGGATTTTGGCAAAGGCGTTCCAGGGAGAGAGAACAGCGGGAGCAAAGGGTAGGAAATGCTGTAGAAGAGCAGACTGTGCTGGAATGAAAGGACGGGAAGAAAGAAATAAGAAAGGGGGCTATGGGGCTCAGGTTACGGAGGACCTTGATGCTATGGCCTTGACCTTAGATACAGTGGGGAGTGACATGGTCAGTGTTTCATTTTTGTCAAGGTCCCTGGCAGCCGAAGTAGATGGCAGGTGAGGGAAGAAAGACACAGAGGCACAGCTGTTAGCAGGACGCCACAGTGACCCAGGTGGAGTGATGGTGGCCACAACCAGCCCAGGAACAGCTGGGAAAGGGAACTTGAGGCTGATCCCCAGCGGCTGGGAAGAAAAGGCAAGAGGTCTCGAGTCTAAACTTGGGGAAGCAGACACACGGCAGCCTCCCCTGCCTGCCACACATGGGACGGGAGCCTGGAAGTCAGGAGGAGGTGGGCAGAGCTGCCCCAGGAGGGACAGGCAGAGGGAAGCGAGATGGTCTCTCGCTCAGGAACGCGGAGGAGGGCACAGATGGAAACAGAGACCTGGGAACAGACAAGGCAAGGTCTCCATGCCAGGCTGAGGCATGTGGACTGTATTTTACAGACTGGGGTTGCAAACTGGCGGCCCATGGAATGACTCTCACCCACAGATATGTTTTGTTTGGCAGATTTTAAAAGTCAAATTAGTCACCAACGTTTAAAGCCAAAAGAATTTACATTAAAATTCTCATTTCTGGCATGTGTTCTGTCCAGAGATCTGGCCACGCTGAGCTCGTCTCCCCACCTAGTTACCGTACGTGAGGCGTGGGCTCTCCAGCTGGACCCAGGCCCTACCACCTACCACCTGCCTGTCTGGCTCATCTCCACGATGCTAAATAAACGTATCTTTCAGGCTTTGTGGGCCTTTGCGTTTGCAAACTGGCAGGAGTGCAGGCAGCCCCTAAGGGGTATCCCCTGGCTCATGCTGTAATGTAGCGGGGAGAGATGGTTTCTAAGAAGCTCGTTTCTACCGAGCTCCTCTGAGCCTGGCCCAGACCAGAAGAGGCGGGAGAAGGTGCCAGACTGCCACCCATCTGATCCTGACTGGACAACTGGTCTGAGCAGGACCCACACTGAAAGCTGCCCCCAGAGGCCCCTGGGGAAGCCCACGAGGAAGAAATCCAGATGGGCATTTAGGACACCGAGTGATACAGGCTGTGCTGGACCCATCTGGGGTGTGGGAGCCCCATGGTGTGAGAGATTCGCCGGGCCTGCAGAAAGTTCCAGGCATTTGACTCGAGCAAAGTCTTAAAAGGACAGGTAGGGTTTTGCCACGTCAGGTGGGAAGACAAGAGCTCAGAGCAGAGCCGAGCAGACAAAGGCAAGTGTCAGGAGCTGAGGCCCTTCCCTGAGGGCAGCCACAGAAGGCTCTCGCAGCCGGGGAGGGACAGGGATCCCAGGCCTCCCTCCCTAGCACTCCGGCTCCACGTTCCCACCCTGGCCCCAGCCCGACCCTGCGGACGGGCGCTCACCCAGGGTCTGCTGGTTGCGGACACCGCCAATCACCACGCAGATCTCGGCAGGCACATCGCCGGTCCCATCCTTGCTCACCCCCTTCTTCTCCTTGGCCTCGCCCTGCCAGATCACCTCCTGGATGTAATCATCGGGCAGCTCCGTCTTGACTTTCACCTCTGTCATCGTTCCCTGCTCGGCGCTCAGCGAGGCCTCGGCCGGCACAGGCTCTGGCCCCTCCACCTTGGTGCTCTTCTGGCTGCGCTTCAAGCGCTCCCTGGGAAAGAAGACAGTCTGCTCAGTGTGGACCCCAGACTCGCCCCAGACCTACCTGGGAGCGCCCCAGCCAAGGAGGGGGGGGTTGCAAAATTTTTAGCTATAGACCCGCCTCTCACGTGACCCTCACCTTAAAGCACAGGTTCCCACCGCTGCCCCTGAGGGTCCTCCAGGGAACCCTGGGGCTCCAAGGAACACAGTTTTAAAATCACTGGACTAGGATGGCTCAAACTGCACCCATTTTGCAGATGGAAAAGCTGGGGTCTAAATGTGACCAGTAACTCTTGTAACTGGAGTTACAAGAGACCTGCAAGAAAAGCTCTGGCTGGTTGAAATCAGTTCTTCCCAAGCTTCAGTGTGACCATAAATCAGCTGAGAATCTTGGTAAAATGCAGATTTGGTGCAGCAGGTCTGGGGCTTGGCCTGAGATTCTGCATTTCTAACAAGCACCCAGTGGAGGCAGGTGCTGCTAGTCCTTAATGGCAGTTTGAGCAGCAGGGGTTTCAGTGGCTTGATGTATGCAGAGCACATGGTGCCCTTCCCTTTGCTCCTTGGCGGAAGGGCTGCAGAGCTCACCCTGCTTTACAGTAGGGAACATACGGGCCAAAAGGCTCACTGAGGGGGAGGCCATGGAGCCAACACTTGGCCCCCCCCACAATCTGGCCTCTAGGTGGCTCTTCAAATAGAAGAAAACATCCTCAAGTTAATACACTCAATATCGAGCGTGGGCCCTGAGGCCTAGAGCAGGGCTGCGACCTGCCCAGGGCCACACACAAGACTGGTGGCAGGCCGAGGCACGAAGCCAGGTCCTGGCCATCCACTCCTGAACTGTTCTCCTTTCAGTGAGACTCTCTGTGTTATGACAGCCCCCTCATCCTTCTGGCAGTGGTGGGGAAGCTGAGGCATGCACAAGCTGGGGAATCAGGTCATGTTCCAGGCCTGGGGATGCTGCCCTGGCCATGTCCAGCCCTCTCCAGTGCTCCAGAGAAGCAGCTGGACCGTGAACTTCAAGGCCCAGGCTCAGGCATGCTCAAGCAAGGCCGGCTAGCATACCAACTGGAGCTTAGCGGAGGTGCCCGGGCTGGGAGGCAGGACCCGGGATCTCATCCTGGATCAGCAGTGGGCTTGCTCTGTGACTCTGGACAAGACCCTTCCCCTCTCTGGGCTTCCAGCTCCATCTACCACAAGAACATGGGTTTTATCATGTCCACTGTCCCGCCCAGCTCTCAACTTTCTCCCAGGTTGGGGAACTGAGCAGAGCGAGAGAAGGAAGGCTCCAGCTGATGACGAGGGGGCAGAGAAAGGCCACTGGGGTGGTCCTATGACTGCACTGTCTCCCCACCCCTGCTTCATGTGGTGAAGTCCTAATACCCAACGTGACTGTATCTGGAGATAGGGCCTTTGGGACGTAATTAAGATTAAATACTATCAGAACAGTAGGGCCCTTATCTGATAGGACTGTGGCCTTAGAAGAAGGAGAGAGATCTCTTTCCCGCTATTTCTCTACCATGTGAGGACACAGAGAGGAGGCTGTCTGCAAACCACAAAGAGGGAGCAGAGGCTGCCTGATGGCCTGGCGGGAAGGAGATGCGAGGAACTGAGATGGAAGAGCAGTGGGCTGTGAATTTGGATCATCCCAGAGCCACATCTCAGACCTGCCACTCTCTCAAGTTGTGGGTTCCTGCAAAAGTGACTTCACCCCCGAGCCTCAGTCTTCACACCCATACAATGGGGATAAACACGGCACCTACCCCACAGCACTGTCTGTGACATTGCCCCAAGGCAATGTCTGCAAGGGACCTAGAACGGTGGCCCCAGTGGAGATGTTCTATCGTACGATATACCTATCGTGTATATGGGGGCAGGGGAAAGAAGTGTTCAGAGAACGAGAGAATGCAGGGGAAAAGCCTTACATGTGTAGATTTTAGTGCAGGGGCTGTGGAAGCAAATCAGTGGGGTTTAAAGCGCGCAGCACTGTCATGCCAGCTTGGAACCCTGAGTGGGCCCTGACCCTCTCTGAGTCTGTTTCCGCACCCGTGAGGCAGGGAGCCCCACACTAACTCAAAGGGCCTCGTGAGGACCAACTGCAAAAATGTACAACCAGGACACTGTCTAGAATGACTCCTAGAGTGGAGATGCTAGTGCTGAGGGACACTGGTGATAGAAGTTGCTGAAATCCCTATTCCCTAGCTGAGACCACATGGGTGCTACAACTGGCCAGTCCTGCCCACCCTGAGGCTCGCTGAGCACGGAGATAGAACTCAGGGACCCTGTCCGACCCTCCATGCCAGCCTGGCAAGAACACAGCCCACGGGTCCTAGGGGCTGCTGGACAGGCAGGCAGCTGAGGACTCTCCCCGGCTTGGCCCTGGCTGCACATGGGGCTAAGCCCCAAGTTCAGGGCAGATGGGCTTCCCAGGGCCTGCAGAGAGGCCCCACCAGAGAGGAGGTGTCCCACCTGTCAGTGTTCCCCACAGCTGACGTCACAGGATGAGAAGGACATAGAACAGCTCCCTGCCCAGAACGCCCTCCCCCCAGGGCCTGTGAGTGCTTGACCATCCTGTCTTAACAGACCTAGTTTCCCTTCCGGCCCTCAAGGACCTCATTAGCATCTGCCATCCCGGTGGGAGGGAGGAACTGTTGGAGTCTGACAGGTTGGGTGTCCACAAACCCTGCAACCTCCGGCCAGAGATTCCCCTCTCTGAGTCTGTTTCCTTGTCTGCTAAAGAGGGACTGTGATCCTTGCCAGCGCGGGGCGGGAGGGGAGCCAGAGAGCTGTACAGAGTGGATCTCCTTGGATGGCAGCTGCCATTATGATGACACTGGTCCATGATGGCATCCCTGCCTCCGGGAAGCCTTCCCTGCTTGCTCGAGATGGCGTTAGACCCCATCTCTGAATGCCCCGTCTGCCTTGCACAGGTGACTCTCACACAGGTGACTCTCACACCCTCTTGCCCACAAGCACAACGGCACACAACCGCACACAACCATCCACTCTCTTACAGGTGACACCCCTGAGCCCTTAATGCACTGAGAACACGGGGGACTTCTCTTCCCCCAGCTTCACACTTTAGATTTACAAGCCCAAGTGTCGCTTTTCTCGGATGCTTTACATTTAATTAGGCATCCTAGTAACAATGGAATTGCACAAGTACTTATATCACTGTGAATTAGTGGTGCAGCTCCTTCTAACTTCTTTAAAAAATATTTTTTCATGTATCATTTTTTAAAAATAGAGCTCATTATTTTAATTATATCCATTTAAATGTACAGTGGAGCCCATGGATATTCTCAGCACGAATCATTAGGTGTATTAGTGAAAAAGCACTTGGAATCTATCTACATGCTGACACTCCATAATCTATTCTATTTGTGTCACTGTAAAATAGATTTATATATAGATAACTACAAAATAGTTGCTTAAGATATGCTATGAATTTTATATTTAACCCGAGTCACGCTTCAACATAAAATCCAATGTCAGGCACTAAAAGGATATTTCTCAGTAAGCACATGATGTCTGTGGTCACTGGTTACTGCTCATCCCAGAATGCCAGGAGAGAAGTCAGATCAAGTGGGTCCCTGCCCAAGGAACTCCCTAACAGCCCTGGCCTTTCACTAAGGCAGTGGTTCTCAAAGTGTTTTCCTTAAAGGCCTAGGGGTTCCAGAGCAAAGGCCCAGAAGCACCCATGAGGCCTGGATAACAGCGTGGTGGTGACTAGACCTCCAAGGACCCCTACTTTCTCCGTCTTTGATACCTACGGCTTTGCTTTTAGTGGGTGGTAAATGGCGGCTCCCCTGAAAGACAGGCCTACAACCTAATCCCCAGAACCTGTGAATGCAAACTCATTTGAAAAAAGGCTCTTTGTAGGTGTTAATTCATTTAAGGATCTTCAGATGAGATCATTCTAGATTATCTGGGTGGGCCCTGTATGCAATGACAAGTGTCCTCATAAGAGACATGTGGGAGATTTACAGACAGAAGAGGGGACAATACAGAGAAGAGGAGGCAGCATGACCACAGATTGGAGCCATGCGGCTCTACAAGCCAAGGAATGCTGCATCCACCCAAAACTGAAGAGGCAAAGAGCAGATCTCCCCAGAGCCTCCAGATGGCGTGTGACCCTGGCCCAAGATCTTGATTTCAGACTTCTGGCCTCCAGAACTGAGATCAAATTTCTTTTGTTTTACGCTATCTAGTTTGTGGTAATTTGTTACACCAGCCACAGGAAACTAATACACTAGGCGTGACTAAATTGGAAGAAATGCCTCCGAAGCAGTCAACTTTTGCAAACCACTGACCTCCACCACCCCCAAAGTTTTCTTTTGCTTCGTTCTTCCTCATCCCCGGGGCTGACTCTGATATGGTCAGTCCAATGTGCCCGCAGAGCCTGCCTGGGGGAAGTTTCAGAAACAAATCTCTTCCTCTGGGTCTTACCATATGGTTCGGTGCTTACACTCACCCCGTCACATCTGGCACTCACAAGCACCCTGTGGCCAGATGGGGAACCAGAACAGGACAGGGCCCGTGTCTGTTCCGTCCCCATCCACATCCAGCCCTAGCCTGGGCCCTGCGGCACAGTGTGAACTCAATCAACACGGAGAATGAACGGCATGCCTAAGGGCGCAAGACTTCCAGCCATGAGCTTGTCTGAACAGCTCTTGTGACTGCTATCCTGGGGCCGTTCCCACTGAGCCCGGCAGCCCAAGACAGCAACCAAACAACTTTTCAGTGGACTGGGGGCTCAAAGACAAATTCCACTTCTGGCCATGTTGAAGGAAGAGTCCCAGTGATGCCCGGTGCCCGCGAGTCAGACAACGTTCTCTCCAAGTACAGTTTCTACATCATCCCACCGAAAATGCTAACGCTTCAAGTTCTACCAAGTCACAGTAGTAATGAGACGTCCTCAGCACACTGGACTTCGGTCCCACCCCTGGTTGACTCGGTTTTCCCATCTGACGACAAGTGAGCTAGAGTCTGAGATGTCGAAGGCTCTGGTGG